CGTGGGTTTATGCCGAGGCACCCCAAAATCTTTTCATGGTGCTTGTGGCTGCACATGTTCCACATGTATAGTTGGGGTCCACGATGTTTTGGGACCCACATTTGGTACACTAATCTGAAGTGAAAGACATAGTGAGTGCATAGTGCATACCAATAATACAAACCCAGTGTGCCGGTTTTCTGGTCTGTGCATTGCACTCATTATCTCATTCATTTTTGTAATATTTGTGATTCATTGTTTCAATCATGATTATTGATTCAGGGGGAAGCAATATTTTGATAAAGTTTAGAGGTGAATAAGAACAAGGGCTTCGAGAAACAACATGACAGGATACATATTATCATCCCTTATATGTTTTTTTTCTAGTTCTTTTACGTTTTTAGAAGCGAAATTAGGGAGAAGGGAACGAAAACTAAACCTCGAGTATATGCTAGATCTTTTTGAATGTGCAATAAGGAAAATAGTACAAGCCATTCGGATGCGGCATTAACATTTAACATGTATTAGGGGAAGCAAAAGTTCTTGTGAAAACAAAATAATTGCATGCATCTTTGACAAAAACGGTAAGCAATACACGGTTTCAATGGATTTTGCAAATTCTACAAGAGCTATCTTGATCCGCGGAACTCCGTTCTGACTATGTTATGGGGCTCGTTAGTATTGAATTTGTTTGTTTACTTTTCAAGCTCGGAAAAATTCAATAACGATAAAGGAAATTCAAGGTACTTTTTAATTAATAAAACAATAATATCGGTACTATTTAATTTGAATGTTGATATTGTAATGTGATCACATTCAAGTACAATTTGATTATGGTATAAGGTTACAATAAATAACACCAAATGTTATTCTTACTATAACAAGGTTGGTAATTACGTTGTGAACGTCCTATTACACAATTAATGTGTGTTATTATACTTACACATGATTGCATTACACTACCAATGTTGATTATGACACCTTGGACATCTAATATAAAAGGACATGATGAAATTACAAAACATCATAATTCACTTATGGTCTCCTTACATTAATATACAACAATGTTACAACATAACATTCAATGGTGAATTACAAGAAAAATAATGTTATACTATAATCCTTCAAATTTACACTCCTAGATTACATAATAAGACTAACGTTATATTTAATTAGACTAAATGACGTTGATATTACTATAACATGGTTGACCTTAGCTTGTGGAAGTTATATTACACTATAAATGTAGGATATTATACTTCGACGTGATTACATTACATTACTAACATTCAAATGAAATAGCATCCATACCCCTTCTTCTTCTTTTTTCTTCTTTTTAGCGTTCAAATTTTAAATGTTATACCAATAAAGAAAGTTATTTGGTTTTGTGAATTTCTACAAAAGCCGTCACATAAAGGTTGTTTAGGAAAAACGTAATTTTCACTTAACTTATAATTTGATGGAAACAACTATAAACTAGCCAATGTTAACTTATAGTAGAAATAATTGGACCAACAACGAAAGGGATATAAAGGCCAGCAGAAGATCATACTAAAAAGGAGAAAACCTAGTTCCAAATTCTCCGAATCCTTCTTCATATTGATAATGATCTGCTTCTGAATCCAAGGCCTCTTTACCGCAGTATTAATTATTTCTATTCCTCAGCTAATCGTATATGAGATAAAATGTGAGCAAACACCTTCTCGCAATACTCTCTCCAATCAACAAATTTGAATGCCCGAAACCCACCACAACTACCCTTTCATGTCTAAACCCTGGCTGGTGCAACTTCATGTATTTGTGAGCAAGAAAAGATGTATGAGGAGTCACAAGGAGAGACCGAACGCCCGATATATAGTGTGGGAGTGCCATTCTTTCTGGGTGGATCAAGTAGGAGTTGCTTTGCTGTCTATAAAACCAGATTTACATATCTTTCTGAGGTGGCGTTGTTGAGCTTTCCTTGTTCAACCACTGGTGCACGGTTGGACTTAAGTTTTCGTGACAAAATACGTTTCCAAATATGCCGGAAACAACTTCACATTCATTACAGGTGCATCTTTTATAATGCAGTATCAAGCGGGCTATAAGTTTCAGAATCCTATGGCGTGAGTTCACCTATTTCCACAAGTGGAACTGTCTTGTTATTTCGAAGTATCAACATGGATATCTACACTACATACGTATACTATATAAATTATAGGGTAAAGTACAAAAAACTACCTCAACTATTGGTGTCACGACACTTTCATACCTTATATTTTAAAATTGACAATGTCATACCTCATCTTTAGAATTTGTGTCAATGTTATACCTTCTGTTAGCTTAACCGTTTATTTCTCAGTTAAATACTGACGTGGCTTGATCCGGAACCCATTTTTTATTAAAAAATTAATAAAAAATAATTAAAAACAAAAAAAAATCATTTAATATTATTTAAATATTAAAATAATAATAAAAGTACATAAAAAATAAAAAATAAACCTCTCCTTTCGTCCCTCCCTTCTCTCTCTCTTCCGCATTTTCCTGCAGCCCAGAAAGAAAAAGGAGGAAGAAGAAGAAGAAGATGAGAAAAAAAAAAAAAAAAAAAAAAAAACACACCCCAAACCAAACCCAGTTCGTCCCCCCTCCCCCCACCACAAACCCAACCTCCTGCAACCCAGAAAGAAGGAGGAGGAAGAAGAAGAAGAAAGAAGAAAAAAAAAACCCAGTTCGTCCGTCCCACCCGCACCCACCCTCTTCCCTCCACACCCATTTTCTCTGCGCCCAGGTTCTCAACCTTTGGAATCGGCTTGGCGAAGGTTTCCCGATTCCACCTCAACGGGATTTGGGTTTTTTTTTTTTTTTTTGGATTGCAGATAATGGGTGCGAGGTTGGGTGCAGAGGGTGGGTGCGAAGGTGGGGAGGTTGGGTGCGGGGAGAAGAGGGGGTGGGGAGTGGGGAAAACAAATTGGTTTTTTTTTTTTTTTTTTTTTTCTCTTCTTTTTTTTTGGGTTTGCAGTTGCAGAAAGGGGGAAGAAGATGAAGATGGGGAGAAGAGAGAGAAGGGGGGAAGGGGACGAACTGATGTTGTGATGTTGGTTTTTTTTTTTTTTTAATAACTTTTCTTTATTATTTTAATATTTAAAAAATATTAAATGATTTTTTTAGTTTTTAATAAATTTTTAATAAAAAATGGGTCTCGGATCTAGACACATTAGCATTTAACTGAGAAATAAACGGCCAAGCTAACGGAAGGTATAACATTGACACAAATTCGTAAGATGAGGTATGACATTGTCAATTTTAAAAGATGAGGTATGAAAGTATCGTGACACCAATAATTGAGGTAATTTTTTATACTTTACCCTAAATTATAATCCTGCTTGGCTCCTTTCCTTTCCATTCATGATTTACTAAAGACAATAGCTTTTTTATATATGTGTATAAATTAGAATACTACTTGGCTCTTTACCTTTCCAGTCATGATTTGCTAAAGATAATAAGTAACTTTTTTATGTATGTGTGTCAACAGGTGATACATATATTAAGAGTAATATGCATTTTCAAGTAAGGTGCCAACTTTTTCCTATATAAATTATTTAACACCTTTGAGAGAGAGAGAGAGAGAGAGAGAGAGAGAGAGAGAGAGAGGGAGGGAGAGCACTCACCGGCAATATAGGAAGCCATACACTCTCTATCAATTTATATTATCTGATCATTTTCAATTCATTCGATTGGATGGTCGAAAATGAAAAAGTATATGTAAAAGGTAAAAAAAAATGATGTGTGGATACCTGAAATTAATTTTTAGGAAGCCTAGATCTTAGTTGCATGACTTCTACTCGTTTCAATAACTATTAATTGTTGAATTTTGTTGGGTAAAACTTGCAATTCACTATTAGTACAAGTCTGGTGAGGCAATTAAAATTATAATAGTGGGCATCCCTACGTTTGGGTATTCAGTCGTGACGGAAACTTCTCCTCTGGGAGTCAATGCTAAACTCTTCCAATTAATTTGGCTAATTAAAGGTGTTGAAATTTCCCCATGAGTTTAATTAATATAAATTGGTGCATATAGTGCCCCCACATTTATTCTCTTATTTGCGTCTGCCTATGTTAACAATCTTCTCATTTATTGATTGAAATTTTAATTATGTTTAGTTGACTCGTTAAATTATTTCTAAGTTGATTGATTTTTGTAAAGTTGAAATTTAAAGACATGCTTAGAAATATATGATTTTAATCGTTGAATAATATTGCAAAATTAATAAAAACAATTGAAAAAGTAGAACGAGAATGTTCAAAATAAAAAAGTGTTAACATCTTCCTATAGTATGCTTCTTAATACTGATTACTGTTGATGCAGGAAGACAAAAAAATATGGTTGAGATGCTCCCCAGAGGATACCAGATTTCCATTTATTTACGGCCCAAAAGAAAAGAAACTTCGATTCCTAAAGACCATTTTACAACAGTGACAAGCCCTTTCACATTTGGCAACCCATACACAAAGCGTAGACTTAAATTTGATTCAACACCCATAAAACAACCAAAAGGTTATAAGACAATTTTGAAGTTGTTAGATTAATCGCAATTAGGTATCCGACAATAACTCATCATTCATGAGAGTTAGGGCTGGTTTGGTATTGCTGTGCTTTGAAAAAAAGCTGCTGTGAGAATAAGCGGCTGTGCTGTGAGAATAAGCGGCTGTGAAATAAAGCCAGCAAAGTGTTTGGTAAACTTTTTTGTAAAAGTGCTTTTGGAAACAAAAAGCAGTATCATAGTGTTTGGTAAACTTTTTTGTAAAACAGCTGTGACTGTGTGAAATGACCAAAAAGGGTATATTATTAAATGTGCTATTAATTTAATTTTCTTAACAAATAAAAGTGAATTACTAAATATATTTTATTTTTAGAAGAAAAATATTTATAAACTTTGTCATCTCCAAACAAAACCTCCCAAACCTCCCACCTACCACAGAAACCCCAAACAAAACCTCCCAAACCTTGTCATCTCCGTCACTCCGCACCCGCCGGCTCAACCATGAACTCCTCCTCCACTCTCGCTTCCTCCTCCTTCTCTACATCCTCATCTCTCTTCCAATACAAACTCATTCCCAGTAAACCAACCCAACCTTCCCTTCTCCGTTTTGACCCTCCCCATTCCCACAATTCCCACAATGTCCCTGCCCTTAAAGTCACAGCCTCCTCCGCCGCCCACCACCACCGACCCCTCCTCCCAGGTAACACCCATAACAACCCAAGCCCGATTCTTCAAACTCTTAAACATTACGCCAAAACCGCCATTCTCATCGGAGTCACCGCCGCCGTGTTCACCACCAAATCATCGACTTTGCTCGCCATAGCCGAACCTACGCCGACATTGTCCGACTTCCTGGGTTCGAATTCGGAAGCCATCGGTGCCCTGAAATCGCTTCTGCAGCAGAAGCTCGAAAACGGCGAGGACGACGAGGCGCTCAAGATCCTGCAGCGCTTGGTCGAGGCGCAACCGTCCAATACCGAGTGGAAGTTCATGATGGAACGAGAGAACGAGAGAACGAGAGAGAGCCTGAGGTTCGGGTTATGCGAGAGAGCTCTGAGGTGAAGAGCGTGCGAGAGAGTTCTGGAGAAGGGAAAGGCGAGAGCGTCGGTGAAGGGAAAGCCGAGGGCAGTTTTGGGTTATGGTATATTTCATTAAACGTGGACACTGTTCACCCGTGTGTGGGTGAAAATAAGCTGCTTTTGGAAGCTGCAAATTGCAGCTTCTTGTCATCTCTTGCTTTTGGGCTTTTTTTCACCCTCAACTTTGAAACAAAGCTGTTTTTCAAAGTTTACCAAACATCAAAAATTTTCATAGCTTTTTTTCATAGTAGCTTTTTTTTTAAGCACCTCAATCCCAAACAGGCCCTTAAACTTGAGATTTTGTAATTTTAAGCAAAGATAAATATCAATAAACCGTAATGCCAATGATATAATTAGAAACTATTTAAATGAGATTTTATCAGAAACTATTATCCAAGGAAAGTGTTATTGACACTCCAAAAATCTCATTCTACACTCCTCACAAGTGTATTTTTCTTTCCAAATATAGAAAGTTTGGCGTATAGAATGAGATTTTTAGAGTGCTAATAACAATTCATTTACCCAATACAAAAGATTATAAAATTTAATTCATATATATTTCCAAAGCGTTTCTCTAGGATCTGAAGCAATGAACCAATAATACAAAGGGTTAAAAAGAATGCATCAATATGATATACAAATTTTATAGACAAACAAATCAACATTCCATCCTCTTTTTTCTTTCTCCAACCAGTAAGTTGCCACTGAAATCTTTCTCAACACCAATTTAGTTGAACCTGAACGACAAAAATCTAAAGAAAAGCTGAAGGAGAACACAGATAAATAGTTGAATTAAGAGATTATTCTTTTACTCGGCAAGTCCCTAAAGATAAAATGGGGCTGGCTGTGGCAATCAACTAAAACTTAGCCACCATTACTGTCTACATATATAGGTATAGTCTACTGTGTATTATGAACTTCCTTTGGGTTTGTTCTAAAACTACCCATAAGAGTAAGAGGGAGGGTCTTAAATGTAACCCGGTACATATTTTCCTCTTTCTATCTCCGGTTACACCTAAATTTTTCTGAAGAGTGGTGCTTATGTACCTAAAATAAAGGCCTGTATTTCAGCCCAACTAGACACTGTATAAAGAATTCCAGACATTGGTTTCCAATTAGAGGAACAATCTTCAGCAAGTTCTCTCTGCCTCTTCACCAAGCCAGAAAACAATGGGACAAATGAAACACCAAAGTGATCACCTAGTCTCCTCAAGGATGAACTGGATCCAATCACAATACCTATATCTGCCTCAAGAAGGCAAAGCAAGTCACCCACTGAGCCTCCAATGTAAACTGTCAAGTGCTTGTCTTCACTCTTTCGGTCGATTAGGATGTCGTTGAAGGCTTGAAGTTTTTCCGTGGGAGACTCCATCTTCTTCACAATTTCGCCGGTCGTAACAGATTCTTCATAGACTAGCTCATTTGAATGTACATTCAAGACATTTAGATCTCCTGTACAATAAAATTTCGACATTTAGTAAATCCTAACACACCTTTTGGACAAGACACACTTTTTTGACAAGATGATATTCTATTCTAAATTACTCAAATTTAAGTTGAAGGGAACTTAAACTTGGGTGTAAGGGTTGGCGGACGCATTGCCCTGGCAAACGGGGCCTAACACACTTGAAATATACAATGTATTCCAAGTAACATACCTGAAGAAAAAGCTGATACAATTAGGTCATTGCACCAGCAGTATGAAAGTACATGAACATCAGCTTTCAGATTTTCATTTTTCACAATCTTTTGAAAGAAGCTTCTGCAACCATCCTGAATGAGACTCTGGCCAGCCCTTTTTATATCCTCCACATTCAAACCCTTCAGTACTCCGGACTCAACCACCCTTTCGTTTGCCTTTCTCTCAAACTCCGCAAGTTGTTCAAGCGCGTTACATAGACTTTCATAATCGAATTCTTCCACTGCAAAATTTAAGGAACACAATGTTTAACTTCATGCTATTTTTTCAAACAATAATTTACGAACACCGAAATTTCACGATGAGAATAAAATCAAAATGCAGTCCAAATAATTAGTTAAGACCAAACCTTTATTACTGGCCAAAATGCTTTCGACAGATTGTTCAAATTCTTCAGTATATTGGGTGGATAGGACATCCCAAGTGCTCCTCAAGTCTGCAGAAGACATCCGAGCGAGTTGCGTTTGATCAGATCCATCAATATCAGCCTTTGGTGCTGTTATGATTGCAATCTCAGCCAGTATGGCAGCAGAGTCAAATGCAGTGCATGCCAAATCAAAATCACATAGGATCGTAAGATGGCATTCGTCGAACTCATACATCCGAGATAGAGGGACTACAGATTGCTGATCAGAAATTGGTTGATTAACAACATTATCTACTAGAAGTTTCATTGCTTGGTGATAGAGATTCTCTATAATTTCAAGCTCCTCACTAGTCAAGCAAATGCTAAGTCTGTCTAGCATGTCTTCATTTTGCAAAGCTGTTTCCTGAGATAAAAGCTTGGTCATTAAAAACTTAAAACAAAAGGGTATGAGAAACAGATTTGATTTTAATAAGACGAACCTCGAGAATTTGAGACGAATAGGTGTCTATCCACGTTCTGTATATGTGAGATTCATAATCATCAGAATTTAGAAATCCCTGAATCTCAGTACTAATGAAGGCATAGAGTCTGATACAAGGAGCCAGAGCAGCAAGTGTGTAAGCAGCAACTTTGGTCTTTTCAAAAGGGGTTGCAATTTTACCCGGAGCCGATCTTTCTCCCTCAATTTTTCCTGATGCTGTTGCAAGCAAGAAATCTGTGTATTTGTTCATTGCAATGTCGTTAGAAGCGCCTTCGTCCGCGAGCTCAAATCCACATTCCTACATATTATGTTCATTTCAGACTTTTTAAGTACTGAAACCAGAATTAACACGCATAAATTTTTTAGCATGTTTGTCACACCGCTGCTAACATGAATACAAGTTGAAGCTAATTCAAAGAGGTCAGACATTGTATACTGGTGCCAAGAGACAATTATACACAGAATATTAAATGATGCTATGGAGATTGTTTACATGAATACGATGCAGTCGTGGGTTAGGCTAGTTGGATAGGAGTGGGCACCTCGTGCACTCGAGTCATCCCTCTTGATTAATTATTGCAAGGAGGCAATACTACTATTAGTTATCCCTCTTGATTTATTCCCATCGATTAAGCTGATAATATATAATGATGAACATCATGATTCACGCAGCCACAATTTGCAGGATAATATTAAAAATAAGTCTTCCTTTTATTATTATTATTCTTTTTATTTTAATTTTTTTTTATCCATTTCTGGAATCAAGTAATCAACCAGTGTGATAACTATTTGATGAAAAATCAAAATTGATATGATGAACTAAGGCTGAAGAGACTAATTGTCCACTAATTACGGAAACAAAACAGAGTCTTAATTAATAATCCATCCCAATTTTTTTCCATAATATCCGTCATTAGGACAGTTTTCTCGGAATCCAAACAGATTTTAAGAAAACTATCTGGATTATAATTATACACATTACATGATGACATGTAAATTAACAAAAAGAAAAACAAAGGGGGAAGGAATCTTTGAATATTTACTTGGACAAAAGTGTCGTGCGTTTGAAGCCTGCGGATTACACGTTTCCTCAAATCGCGTATGCCATTTTTGTCGTCGTCATCGTCTGCACAATCCTCCGCCAATTCATACCTGACAAACAGAAAACAAAAAACCAATTATTCACTGCATGATATTTCTATGTGTGTAAAGAGATTAGGGAGGACGATGATCGAGGTTGATCGAATGTCCGACGTACGCGAGAGCGAAGGCTTTGAGAAAATGGAGGTCTTGAGAGATGAAATGGCGGAAGGTGGTCGGAGAGTGGAGAGTAGAAGAGGCCAACCGCACAAAGAAAGGACTGTACAAAGCGAAAACGGAGTATTCCTTTCTGAACTTTGCCCACAAACGCCGTGCTAGGCTTATTTCTTCGTCCACGGCCATAATCTCCAACGGCAATAGCGAGGGCAATAGAGAGTTAGGGGATCAATATTTCTAAGACTTCTTCTACGTACGATTTGGACTGAGCAACAAATAATATTAATAGAGACGACGAAGGAGAGAGACGGAGGGAGAAAAAAAGAGAGAATGGTTTGGTGGATTTTTGGAGTTATTGTTGTCCGATCGTTGAAGTTTGATTGTCTTGTGGATATATTAGTAATATTTATAGGGTCCATCGTCAGTCCAATATTGCGGGGGACATAAGCTATGCAGGGGCAGAGTCTTAGCCGCCGGGTCAACTTAGCAACAAACATGCACCTTCTTGGCTTCATCCCTTGCGTCATGATCCTTTTTCCCACCTACCTAGTTACATTTCACCCCTTCTAACATCTTTCTGTCGTTATCCCTTACAAAAGTCACACTTTTTAAGTTTTGAGGAAAGCTTTAACATGACTGTTTAATTAGAATAATTCTGGATGAGACCAAAATACATAAAATGTTATACTTTTTTGAAGATGGCTTATCAACTACGTGATTAGACTGTCGTACTGATTTTTTTGTCTTCCCTTTTATTGGATCACAAGTTATGATGCATGTAATATTTCATTTATTTCGTCTGGTAACGAATGTGTCATCAACAAATGATTTAATTTAACTAGTGTTGCCCTTTATCAATGGATCGATTGACGGTCTAAATTTTTCATATGCAGACGATAACTTTACCAATTATCTCGTCACAACTTAAAAGAAAGGTACTGCTTCAGTATACACTAGAGAAAAAAATTATAGGCATAGATAATTTATCCATTTTGTACGACCAGTAATAGTGAAGCTTTTCGTAAGCAGCCTAAAGTTACTGTATATGGCTATTAATACTGTACAAGTCTGCAACTTGTATAGGAAGTAGTGCTCTCCATGATCATAAGTTGGGGTGACAATCCAACAACAAATCCAACTGCATACTTTATTATTTTCTTTCAACTCAACTGCATATTATACTTATAATGTTGGTGGATTTTGCTTTTTAATGTAGTTCAGAGTGCACCGCCGCTGGGTTCCTTTTTGCTCGTTACACCGAGATTTCGTCTCCCAAAAGCAAAATCAGTATACATGCTTTTGCTAGCTATACGCGGTATTCCTCGTTGCCACCTGACTTTGACTAGTCCAAAAAGGGAATGGACTCAACTAATTTAGAGACCGGGAGAGACCCTATTACTATTAGTAAGTTATGGTTCATGATCACATGATGAACAAATCAAAATTGATCTTTTCATTAAATTTCAACAGTTGGAGGGAGCACTATGGCTTATTGCCGAAGGACTCGATCATTTGGTTGGTATTTGACTTTGGAAGAGTCGGCTACATATGGTCATGGTTGTGAGAAATGAAAATGTCATCAACTTACTTTGTTTGGTAACTTTGGTTTTTAATTTTTAGTTTGTATTGATATAGAATGGTGGAAGGGATACGTAAGAAATGTCTATCGAACGATATTCAAAATGAAAACTAAAACTCGTAAATTGAAGGAATTTTTTGAAACCTTATTTTCACTTTCAAGATACATGATCTCCTTAGGATAAAGTAATCCTTTTTGATATGAGAAGCAGTGAGGATAAAAATGAATGAGTATGAATAAATTACCGTCCTCAGTTATCATACCTTAATTTTTAAGTATCGCGTACCAAAAACTAATGAGGCTCACCTACTTTATCATTCATTCTATTGTTGATAAACACATAATGCGCCCTTAATTTTTCCATCCTTCCTTCCACGACCCTTTCCAATATCCTTTTTCATAGTTTGTAAGTGACCCCACCTGTGCCACATCAAAAGACTTTTTAACACATTTTTTGGAAAAAAAAGGACCAAATTGAGACATGAAGTTAGACGATTGAGGGATTAAGTGACATATTTAATATTTTAGGTTTTAGGAGTAAAATGAAACTAAAGTTTGAATTCATGAGGGCATCAGCAATATTTAAGCCTGAAAAAACAAAACGACAAAGGAAAAAGGAAGTAGTTGCTAACTTGCTACACGAGTATACGGTGCATAATGACATGAATAATATAATGTTGTCGGGACTTGGCTTAAAATTGGCCTATCATTTTGGAAAAAAAGGCAATGTGTTAAACGCGTTTAGGCCTTTCTGGAGGTCCTTCCCATAGTCTTCTAGTATTCTGCATTTTGTTGACGCTGCAAATATATGAATTCCAAATTGTTCACTCCATTTGGAACGGAACTGAACATTCTTTTGTCACTGTACATGTTCAAGACGTTCAACAAACATATAAATTAACGTGACTCAATTTACATGTTGAAAACCCCCACAGACGTCCTTTCGTTTTCAGTTTCCTTAATTTGTTTTCACTTATTGCAGAAACTAAAGTATTCAAAAGTCGTGGGAGATTGGAAAAAAGAGTCGTAGACGACACACAATATATCATGATTAAGCTAGGCTATATATGATTCGTCTTATTGTTGTTTGTCAAAATATATGATTCATCTTCTTTTTTTTTGTCAGAATATATGATTCATCTTTTTTTTTTTGTCAAAATATATGATTCGTCTATTAGCTCTTTAACAAGTGGCAAGGCATGTAAATCATGATTTGGGTGATGATATCATATAGGATGATATGATATCGCATTTATCCAAAATTATATAAAACTCAACACTAATTAGATGGGATTTCAATCATTAAGCTAATGATAGTATTATGATGGTTGATTTGTGGACTTTAAGTTGCTGCTTTAGCTAAATCTTCATTTTTACGGGACGGCGCTTGAGCTAAAGAAATTTGTTACTCACGATTTTATTTGGTTTAGTATTCATTCATTTGAGTTAGCCTATCACATATTTCTATCCCACATCTTATTACCATATAATCTGATATGTAATATGTTTAACCAGATATTTAATGAAATAAAATTTATTAACTGAGGTAACATTTATATGTCAGTTACGAAGTTAAAAAATAGGCTAGAACACTACGAGTTCTTGTATGTATCAAATATGCCACAACATCTGTCTATCATACCATTTTTTAAATGCCATGTGTCAATTTTACATCATTTTTCTATAATTTGAAGTAAAACAAAATTAAGAAAAAAAAATAAAAATTTTAAGAAAAAAAATGAAAAAAGAGAGTGACCTAGCAACAAACCCATATATCCTCCCCGACCTCTCCCACTACTTACTTGCCATGGCCGCCATTACAATTTCAACATTTCGCATTAAAGATTTGGGAAATTTGAAGTTTTTTTTAGGAAATGAAGTCTCACGCTCAAAAGACAAGGTATCAACATTTCGCAAAAGAAATATGCACTTGAGATACTCAACGACCACGGTTTCCTGGTGCAAGGCCGGTGGAATTCCTAATATAGGAAACCAAACTTTCCGACAAAGATGAGTTGCTCAAGGATCCAGCACAATTGCCGGCATTTAGTAGCTAGGTTGATTAATTTAGAGAACTTTAACGAAAAGCTCCTGGTACTGTTCACTTTAATGAAAAACCACATTTTTACACTAAAAGATCAATACTGATACTATTCACTAGACCTGGCAATTTATTACACGACCCGTTAACACGACACGTAAACGACACGAAAATAACGGGTTTCGGGTCAACACGATAACTAATCGGGTCATTATCGGGTCACACGATAATAACCCGTTAATAACGGGTCCTTAACAGGTTTACACGAAAGTGACACGCGGGTAACCTGTTTCGACACGATAAGAAAAATGCTATTTTGATGATTTTAATTTTTTAAACTACTAAAAAAAACTTACTATAAAATGCAATAGATATGATGAATATGTATATATTGTTTATTAATTATTATTCTATTATTATTTTATATAAATTTTAAAATTTAAGTTTTATTTATTTATTTATTTTTATAATATATTATAGGCAAAGATTGAGAATAAAAATCATAAAACACATTAAAAATAAAAATATCAAGTAATTTAAAAATACCAAAAACATAAAAAAATTATAATAATTAATTTCCCGCCTAATATTTTAAGAGTTTCATCCATTTCCCACCTAATGTTTGGGAAATTTTGCAACCTATATCCATCCATTACCCGCCTAATGTTTAACCCAAAGAAAAAAAGTAACCAGCTTTTTTTTTTTTTTTTTTTTTTATCTCTTATAACATTTTAACTTGAATAAAAATAAAATACGTAATAAAAAAACATAAATGTAATTTTATTATTAAATATCATCACATACTAATTGAAACATAGTCTAATTAACACTTAAAATATATAAATAATTAATATATTTATTCCAAGTCATCAAAACGATAAGATTCACTAACGCTTAAAGTTTATTTATACTTTCATTAAGTATAACATCAATGCGTATCCCATCAAAATGATGAAAGTATGAATAAACTCTTAAGTGTTAGTGAATTTATCGTTTTGACGGGATAATAATCCTCCAAAACTAATTTCAACAAACCGTCAAACTTGTTTATACATGCTTCGAGATCGCATACTCCAAAAATTTCAAAAAACAAACATTCAGAGATGAAGTAATGAGACAAAACTTTTCAACGGTTATAAACGAAAAATCACGATTTAACGGTTATTTTAACTCCGATTTTGATGACTTTTTACAGCTACACTCCTTGACCTTATATGAATACAATGAATGAATTCGATCTTCAATTTAAAATATTTACACTAATGTATACCACAAATCTTATGTTATACTTAATGAAAGTATAAATAAACTCTTAAGTGTTAGTTAATGTATCGTTTTGATGGGATACGCATCCTATGAAACTAATTTCAATGATCCAACCGTCAAATTTGTTTATACATGATTCGAGATCACATACACAAAAAATTGCAAAAAAAAAACATTCAGAGATCAAGTAATGAGACAAAACTTTTCGACGGTTATAAACGAAAAATCACGATTTAACGGTTATTATAACTCCGATTTTGATGATATTTTACAGGTACACTCCTTGACCTTATATAAATACAATGAATGAATGAATTCGATCTTCAATTTAAAATATT